TTCAAATATACACAGTTGAGTACATTTCAGAGTTTACACATGAAACAAAATGACGCACATCTCTCATCTTTTCTGGTGTTGTCATGCTTCTTGCAAAACTAGTTTTTGTCTGTAATTATTCTTCATCATTCCTCAAGTGTAGAATTTTTATTTATGCAGGAAATTGTTTTAGAGATTTTAAGCAACTATCACAAGAAACTTGACCCTGAGCAGATGACCTGTCTTCTTTCTAAGGAATCGTCAAAGAATCCACTTTGGCTAGCGATTGCATGCGAGGAGCTACGTGTCTTTGGTGACTTTAGCCGAGTCACAGAAAAGATCAAGTCACTTGCTGATGATTTACTTGAGTAAGTTAAGAGGCTGTATAATTTTTTTCTTCGGAAGGGATCAAAAATAGCATTTTTTTTTTGTATGTGTGTGCAGTCATGCATGTTTTTTGCTGAAGCTCTTTCTTAGTCAGTGGTGGATTAAAGCAAGGGGTTGGGGGGCAGCTGGCTTGTGCCCCCTAACTTTTTCAAAATAAAAAAATAGAGGCAAAAAGAAAATTATATTCAAATTTAAGCTGATGTTATCTAGACCCTCCACCTGTGAAGGTCACATCCAGGGCCCCCCCCCCCATTTCAAATTCCTGGATTTGCCACTGTTAGTTGTGGTAATACTGATACTCCATATTTAAGTGTTTATTAAAGATAAAAGAAACTACTATAAATTTTTGATATACTATTCTATAGTTAATTTATTACAGAGTATAATAAGGTACAATTTACCAATAATATATTGCTGGATTTTGTTGAAAAATTGTTTTTACTTTTACTTAGTTTACTGGGACAAGTGCTTACACGATTTGAACACGAGAATGGCGGCACTCTGATGATAGCGACCCTCTGCCTTCTGGAAACTTCTTCACATGGACTTCTGGAAACAGAACTTTTATCAGTACTTGGAGGAGATGTATCACTACTCACTCCATCTGAGGAGAACTTTAGCAAATTGAAAAAAAGTAAATCTTTTGATAATATTAATTTTCTAAATTTGTACTTCTAATCATTTTTCTCATAATTGCCTTAAACCCATATTAATTGTATCACTAAAATACTGTATTGTTCGATATTATCTTATTTAAAATTTGTTTTTGTATACTTTGTTTAGTGAACAAATAAAAATAAAATTTTATTTTTGGGCAATTGGAAAATGGAAGTATGCCCATATATAGTCATGATGTGTCTATATATGGTCAAGTCCCATTACTGCACTTTTTATTTTCTTGTTCTCTTCCTCTTCTGGAACTATTTTTTGCCCTCTAACGATCTTTAAAAAAGTAATTTAGCAAAACAAGGTATAAAAAAATTCTCACCTAATCATCATCATTTAACTATTATTTTTACAAACATTGAATGTCATCATTACATATTTCTATGTTTCTATATTTATGACAATTAAAGAATCAACATCACTGTCACACTCATCGACATCATTCACGAAACATTTTATTATATTTTTCACATGTCTACAGAAGAAGATAGTGATGTTCAACCAATTAGAAGCCAGCCACTATCTGCTGCTAAGTGGGCCGCTGTGTACCGTGCATTACGTACCTTCCTTAGACCATTTGGGGACAGCGGTGAGGGCAGGCTTGACTTCTACCATCGCTCACTCAGTAAAGCTGTGAGGAAAAAGTAGGTACAATGACATAATCATAATATCACACCACCATTATCATTAAAAACATCATCATTATCAGCAACATTATCATCATTATCAACATCATCATCATCACCCTTATCATCATCATCAGCTGTCATGATAATTCTTTTGTTTTAACAGTAATCAGTGGTGGCGCCAGGTAGCTTAAGCTCCTCATCGGACAATTTAAGGCCCCCTCCACCGGCCAAGCTCGTTGGGCAGTTGGACCAAAAAAAGTATTAAAATAGGTATATACCAAGCCAAAAGATGTCTTTTACAGTCGTAGAGTGCCATTTCTGACCATCCAGAGATTCCTATTTTTTTTTTTTAATCTCATACAAGCTCAAGGCCCCCTGTCGGACAGCTTAGCTCCACCCTCCAGAAAATGTATCCTATGGCCGCCACTGACAGTAATAGCATCACACATGCCCTGTCCCTGATGAGCCACTCATTATTGATTGTGAAAATATTTATTCATTTTATTGCAGATATTTTCACACACAAGATGGATCTGAAAGAGAGGATGTGTATGCATTTTGGCATATGGTACTCGCAAACTTTTTTGAGAATGAGCAGAATGTTGACCGCAAAGTTGAGGTAAGAAATGTCTTTTGTATTAACTTCAGTGGTCCTTTTCACGGACGGAAACAGGCTGATATTTTATCTGTCAGACACAATAGAGCATATTTGAGCAAACTTTGAATCTCAGGATGTTTGCATTCTCCACAATTATAATTGGATGAATCTGTAAAATTAAGTATGATATAAAGTGAAAGCTCTACTTTAACAATTACTCAGAATTTGACAAAACACTGTAATATTGTTAAATATTTTTTTTTTTTTTTTATCTGCAGGAGTACCCTTACCACCTGGTCAAAGTAAATGATACGGATCGTCTGGCTAAGTGTTTGACTGAATGGCCTGTCTTTGACCATTTGTTCAATGATTATTACAGTTCCCAACTTCTGTTATACTGGCGTAAGGTAGGTTATTATTAAGGTTACTATGGAAGTGGGTCAAGCAAATGGGCAAGGGAATCACTGATTTTTGATTGGCTAGGGAAATTTTTCCACTTTATGGGCATAGGAATGTAGTACAATGGCCAAGGGTCCATAAAATGCACAATAGAGCAACTGACTGGGCAAAGAAACCCAGTCTATCAGGTGGACTCACCCGCTTGAGAAGAGAAACTTGTCTATGTTGCAAGGAAAATTGGTCTATCAAGTTGGACAACAGTTACTGGACACCAAGTGGACATGGGGTCTACTAAAAAGGAAAAATAAATGGCCACTCAATGGACAAAGAGCCACCAATTTTGCAAGAGAAACAGATATTTAATCCAATATTATCATTCTGTAGTGTCAGGGTGCAAAGAATAGGCAACTAAATTTAGGTACTGAAAATTTGCAGTGAACCTGGAAAAGTCATTGCCTAAAGGGGTAATAAAATTCGCTATGGCATAACTTCACAGAATATTTAAAGAATGTGAAAAATCTGTGGCAGAATCGTGTCATAACAATTATATCTTTCTTCCCAGACCAGATTAGACCCCACTATCTGAGTTCTGTCAGTGACCCTAATGTCATCACATTTTCATTAGCTTTACCAAGTGCATTCATTTCATTGCTTTGTTTTAACTAATAACATTTTAGGTTGGTGACTACCAGTGTATGGAAGGCCACTATAGGAAAATTCTGGAAGCAATTGACAAAGAGGCATTTGGACTTGAAGAATATTGCATACGATATGAACACATTGCAAAACTTTTGTAAGTTTTCATTTACAAGTTAAACTTTGACCATTTCTCCAGTTAAATGGTTAAGATCAGCAATTACAAATTTAATTCTTTTATTTTTATCTGTGTTTACGATTATTATGTAATATATTATTCATTATAAAATCAATCATTATACATTAAAAAAATCATTTTCAGAGTTACATTAACAATGATGTACATGTTCAGGGTTCAATAAAATGTATACTGTCTATGTTCAGGGTACAAGCTGGTGAGTACACTGTAGCGAAGGGTTACATCGATGTCGCCCTTAACATCGAAGAAGAGCAGCTTGGTGGAAGACCAGAACGATTGGTGGAGCTGTTTGCCCTTTATGGTGAACTCTATGATGAGGTGAGCTACTGAGTAGTAGGATTTTTAATCCCATGCATGAACTGTGTGAATGTGACTTCATGGAGAATGAAACATGCAAGCAACACTGAAGTGAAGTGTTGCTAGCTATAATGTGCATCATATCAATTTTTTATTAATAATTTTCCCTTGATTTCAGATTTCTAAGTTACATGACTTTATTAAGAAAGAAAACATTAAGGATTTGAAGCCATGCATTGAGTACTTTAGGAAGTCGGTACAAATCAGGGAAACATTAACCGGAGACCATCACAAGGTATTTTCAAATAAACAAATTATCAATATTATCAGGTTATGTTGTATTACCAATTTTATTCTATTAGCATTTTATTAATGTTCATATAATAAGATTTAGTCTAATATTAGTTTTATCTAAGAACATACATTTTTAAACAGAACATGATTTTCAAAAGTTTTGAACTGGAGATTATTAATTAGTGTGTGTGTTAATCAGTCATATCTTTAGTACAATGCTTTCTGGCGCACACCTTTACGCACATCACAAATGTGTACTTTATGTTTGTTTCATTTTTGGGCCTTTCTTTTTCACATGGGGTGCTATGGTTATATATACAAACTTCTCCAATCAAATAATATTCAATTTCTCTAGCGGCAGTAGGTTTTCTTAAATGTACATACTGAATTTTAAAAAGTTTCACAGCTTGTAGCAAAGAGTTCCATAGTCAAATAAAAATCATGTCGTGGAGCATAAAAATCTTTTTCTCAGAAGTGTTGGCTCCAGAAATTTGCCAACAAAGTGTCCGACAATTCTGACAGCGCGGTCAAAACTAAGGTGCTAACCAGAGATTCAAATAGGGTCCTGAATATAAATTTGTGGTAGTGTTCATGAATAGACTTTTTATAGCTTAGTTTTCCAAAAATAGTGATTTTAGGCCACAATATTAGGGATTGGCAATCAAAATAACGTTTTGGATATGCAAATTTAATATTTTTGTGTCCAACAACCACGTCATGGCGTTGGACAACGGGGAGTCCAAGTGTGTCCGATGGGGCACTCCCCTGCCCCCTGCTGGCACCCCGCTATCTCTCAGCACTGTATTGGTTTGTTCTATAATGACACCGCCCTCTAAATTTACATTTCTTTTGTAGTACAAGATGGGCATTTCCCTCATGTCATTATCCTTTACTCTAAACACATTTTTTGAATGTGGAGGTGACAACACACTGGATGCAGATGATGCCCAAGAAGAGGCATTGGAACACATTGAGAAAGCACTTACAATATTCCAAGAGGTAAGGTATTTGTTGGTGCTAAAAGAATTAAGAATCCTTATTATTTGGACACTTTTGAAGCCAAAAACAAATGTCCTCATAATATGGTGTGTCCCGGGGCGGATTTAAGGGGGCCGGGCCCCCACTTTTGAGAGGTAAAAAAAAGAAAAAAAGAAAGAAAAAAAAAACACGATAGCTCAAAATGCCTCAAATGTTATTTTTGGGCGTCTAAAACACAGAAATTTCGTGGGGGCATTCCCCCGGACCTCCTATTTCAGTGTTGTCTCGATCAGCCCCCCCCCTTTGGACATCTCTGGATCCGCCCCTGTGTTCCCTAAATAGGGATTCATTTTAGTGTTAAAAGATATTATTTTTTCAAGAATCGACACCAAAAATATGTTTCCCTAATAAGAGTGTCCCTGAAGTGGAGTTCTACTGTATTGTGCTATAGAGAGAAAAAATGTGTTTGGTGATATAACCATGCACTTTTCAATAACATGGTCATTTGTTTGGTTTTTTTAAGCTTGGAGATCTTGGGAAGGAGGCAGAAGCTAGCATGACAAAAGCTATTCTGTACGACCGAGGATCGGATGAACAATTCGAAGTAAGTTGATTCAACATATGCTTTGGAGCCAAGTATAAACAGCACCAGCTATAAGCCCCAGGCCTAAACCAGCTTATGTAAATCATGCTATCTATATGAGCCAGGCCCCAAACCAGCTTAGTGTAATCAGCACCTTTTATTTGAGCCCGCCTCCAGACCAATATAGTATAAATCACATCAAACAATATGAGCCAGACCTCAAACCACTTTAGTATAGACACAACATTTTATATCAGCTAGGCCTACAACCAACTTTATAAACTGGATCATAATCTAGAATGTTTTTCTTTTTTTTCTATTTTGAAGTGGTACAACAAAGCGTATGAACAGTGTGAACAAGCCTACGGAAGCAACTGTAAGCTGATGACCAGGCTGATGAGCAACATAGGTATATTCCATGAAGATAAAAGAGATTTCCACACCGCCTACGAATATTTTGTCAAGTGGTACAATGTATCTGTAGAGGTGAGTTGAGATTGTTAATTGATAATGTTACATTAGTGATGATTTGTTTTTACTAGAATGATATTGATATAAAAGATGATAAATGTTATTAATAAATTTAACACAGAATGTGATAATATAAAGTCCAGTCAAACTTTGAAAAATATACTCCTAGTTAAACTAAATCTATAATAGTAAACACTTCATTCTTGTCAAACTTAATTCCTGTTGGATGCTATGGAAGCTGAAGCTATTTAATGGTGGTGGTGATGATGATTATTATAGTGTGGTGATGAGGATGATGATGATGATCAGTGCTTGAGCATCCCACTCACTCTTTGTTCAAATGTGAAAAAAAAAAACAGTAAATGAATGGAAATGAATGGCAATGTAATTTACTTTACATTAACAACCAATTGTGGTGTAGTCATAGCCATCAATGTACTCCGTCCCCAATTTTTAGCACCATGCGTAAAGTGTGAATTTAATATTTTCTATTCAGCACCCAACTTCAAAAAATCCGAAATTCTGCATATGCCACTAATGATGATGATGATAAATATTACAATGACGATATTATATTTGCTTGTTCTGTTTCTTTTTTAATAGATATTTGATAACAATTTTAAACTTTGAAAGGTTCTCATTAGAATTATAATTTTTATTTCTAAATTTTAATTCTAAATCACATTCTTTATATCAACATTATTGGTATAATATTTAATTTCAATCATGTTAATCTAAGAAAATTAGGTTATTCTCACCAGTGAAAAATCTAGTAAATTAAGTTATTTGATTTAAATTATAGGTGTTTGGAGAAAATCATCCTAAAACAACTTCCGCTCGGAATTGTCTGGAGGAGCCACAGTACCAACGGATAAAAGCAGCTATTGAAGCTGGCAATGAAGCATAAAGAGGAGATAGCAAAAATATGCAGACGACATAAAATTGAACTCTGGGATATGTTTAAGTAGTGCCCTCGCAAGGTGATGTCATAATCTACCAAGCTTGTACTTATACATTTGAATAAGTTGTTAACTCCACATCATAAATGATGTTCAAGGAAAGGAAAATGACCTTTTTGCTGAGTTTTGTCCCTTGGGTGATGTTTCTGAGGTTCCATGACAGTGTTGAGATAGTCCTTGGGTAAGAATGTTAATAGTACATGTGTTTGTGTGGGACAACATATGTTTATGTGGGACAGGCATATATTCTTGTCCTGTTTTGACTAGTCAGTTTTTAATTGTTATAGACACACCAAAAGGTCCATTAGATGTCAGTGGGGAGGGGGGACTGATTTTTTTCATTAAAGCATTTGGAGTAACACTATATCTAAATCTAAAGTTGGCTGTTATTTTCTGGCAGCTTTTTTTTCCCAAGCAGGAGCCTAAAATAACTATATGATATTTGAAAGGCCAATTTTTCATCACACTGAATTTTAGCCCAGTTGTTAATGTTATGGGCTAGAGTGCATAAGGTGATTGAATATTTCCCATGAAGGGGGTGGGAATTACAAATATCTATGCTTGAGTAATGCAGTGATTTTTCCTAATTGCCAACACAAAATGCTGTTTGAGTGAGGTAGAAAAAGTGCAGAACATCAGGGAAAAATGCATTAAAGTAGCATTTAATAGGTGTTGGTGTTACATCCTCTAAGCCCTATTTCTTAGATATTGTGACGAAGATCCTAAAAATGACAGATAAATGTAAACCACATTTGTGGTACATGCACGTATTCCTGGCAATGTTTACATTGGTCAGTTTTTTTGAGGAAAGTTCATTGCTAGGATGAATGTAAACTTACGGGTATTTCATCATGACACGGAGACATCCAGCGGCATATCTAGGGGTTTGGGGGAATGCTCTTCCCACCATCTCCAACTGTCACCTTCCCCCCTCCACCCCTGACAATTTTTGAAGCAAAATAGTTACGCTAAAGTAGTTGAAAATCACATTATTTTGCCGCTCCACTCAATTCATCATCAAGTTCTCCCATTACACGTCCCCCACCCATTTCAGTACCCCTAAATATGCCTCTGGATACCACCGTTTATTATAATATAGATATATACCCTGTTGGGTAATATTTAATCACATCTCATGTATTATTATCTCTTTATTTACTTAATGAAGCATTATTGTAGTGCAATGTATGTGCAAAAATAGATAGGTAAGTAAGACTTGTACATTGTGTATAACTCAGTGTTATTGTAAAATTTAATATTATATAGTATTTCAGGATCATGTTCCCAAGATAATTGTTTTTAATCTTTCTAACTTTTAGGAAAAACAATTTCTTAATGAAAGTAAAAATAAAAAAGTAAATTAATTTTGCATAATCCAAAATATTCTTTATGCTGTCTATCATAAAATATCAGCCAGTGCTTTCTTGAAATGTATTTTCTTACTTTTGTTATGGGTTTTCTCTATTTATTTTTAATACTAATACTAAAATATTGGTGTTAAGAATATATTTTCTTACTTTTGTTATGGGTTTTACTCTATTCTTGATACTAATATTTTAAATATTTCATTTATAGCATTTTAGTATATTTGTCCAATCAATTGTGTGTACACAGAAAATTCAAGTTTTACTCTATTTATTCTTAATACTAATATTTTAAATATTTCATTTATATCATTTTAGTATATTTGTCCAATCAATTGTGTGTACACATAGAAAATTCAAGTGATTTGTTCAACCTGACTGTTACTGTATTTAATATTCTGTGTACATATTGTAGCAAATAGCCTGGATTTTATCTCAGTTGTGAATGTACAGTAGTAAAATCAAGGCATGTCGAGATCAGACTCGGCTTACTAATTTCATGATTGTGTATATCATTTTCAAAGTACTTATGTATATTTTTTAAATAAATCTGAAGACGATTATGTTATTCTTGATGCCATTGTTTATATCATCATTATCATCATCGTCGTCGTCGTTTTCGTCGTCGTCGCCACCCCATGTCATCATCATCATTATTTTCGTCGTCGTCGTCGCCGCCGCCACCACAATCATCAACATCGTCGTACATATTACATGGACAGACATATATTAATAGTATCCGATATAGTTGGTTCCACGTATGTCTCACAGAAATATATAAATAAATATAAAAACGAAAATGAAACGATTGCATACGTTGACATAATAGAGACATAAAATGTATTCAAAACGAATATTTTGGACACACCTGTGTCCTTCCTCAACGTTACAAATGAGTAGTTGTCCCAACTTTAATGTATTTGGTATCCAAACACTTAGAAAACAAGCCAATAACATGTTTAAAACCATCTTTAATACCAATAAATCGGTTATAAAAGGAGGCCATTTTGAATTTCAAAATGGAGGCCCAAAATATAAATGAAACAACTGGCACACACATTGTTCTTAATCAATAGTGTTTTTAGAGTTGTTTAAACATATTTGCCAAGAATCTAACCAAAATTTTGCTTTTTTTACTGTTCTAAATATTAAGACAACAGACTAAATGGCCTAGATTTAAAAAAATGATGGACTTTAAAAGGGTACTTTACCCACTTCCACACCACCCCACCTAATAAAATTTTACTAGAATGATTTCTTTTTAATCAAACACCCTCGCGTCATGTGGAGGACCGTACTCCCATGTTAAGGCCGAAGTAGGTGCTCATTCAAACCATCTGAACATTCGGTAGCCTCGATTCGCTCACTTATAATAGGCTACTATAATCCCGCATTGTAGTTTTTGCTGTCGCATTAAAAATAGAAGGGCGCCATCCCTTTGCGCATATAATTTTTAATAGTTTAATAATTAGGCTTAATATAAATATATGCATAAAAAATACCTGAATTTCTTCCTACGATTTCCATCTAATCTCTCTCCAATTCGCTATTAATATTCGCAGCACCTCACCCGATATGGTGAACCCGGTAAACCCTATCAGGTTATTAAATATTCAATTTATTTTCAATAGCAGAGGTGCTTGCGACACATCAACCGTAAACTACACAGCAGGCAATAATTGTCACGAGCACCTACCCCTGTCGGGTATTGTTTTTAAATGTATTTTTTTTTTAAGATACGGCAAAGGGCAGCTAAAAAACAACATATATTGCTTTTGCCTGCGTCAGTAGGCAATAAAAAAAAAACGGGAGTGTGAAGAATTTCACAAAGAAATTTGTCAAGTCCATAGTGCGGCGGCTCCAGCGTCTGATATGGGAAGGGAAATATGTTTTCTCATAGCCGACCGGAGATACAATTATAATTTATGTACCTTATGCGCAGTAGGTGTGACTATGGTCTTTCTCCCCTACCCAAGGTGAACCCACCATTAGGTATTTGTTTGGAAACAAAAATACGCTCAAGTTGTTAAAAATCATCTAAGTTGCCTTATTTTACTAGCTGAAATCCACTTAACCTTCGAGCCAATACCACTCCCTGACCACCATCTTACTCCTAGATAGGCCACATCACTGCCACCCACAATCTGCAGTATACAGAAGATGATCGCGTAGGGATAATGCGGCTCCGCCGAGAGCCACAACCACAAAATCTGCATTTTTACTCGTGACATAAGGTGATTATTATGATAATTATGAATATTATGATTGTTATAATAATAATAATAATAATAATAATAATAATAATAATAATAATTATTATTATTATTATTATCATTATTATTTTTTAAAATTATTATTAATGTCACTAACACTACAAAATTTGCATTTTTAATTGTGAGATAAGGTGATTATTATGATAACTATGAATATTATGATTGTTATGATTATCATCATTATCATCATCATTATAATTATTACAGCCAGGTATTATTATTATTATTATTATCATTATTATTTTTTAAAATTATTATTAATGCCACTAACACTACAAAATTTGCATTTTTAATTGTGAGATAAGGTGATTATTATGATAACTATGAATATTATGATTGTTATGATTATCATCATTATCATCATCATTATAATTATTACAGCCAGGCACTTGCAGTCAATATTACAACCTCAATTTTCGAATTGTATCACTCTGTTTTCGTACACCTTTTCTGTGTAGCTCATGTTATCGGCAAACAACAAAAATTTATCAGCAATTGAACTGCTTGATGATCTTTGTTGACTTTATCATTGTACTGTAGACGTTAGGTCTATCAATCGTGTTTGTGGTCCTTTCAAACTGCCTATGTGAGGAATAGATATAATTCTACAACTATCACTTGTGTTTTCTACAACGTGCTGTCAGTGATGGTAGGTTAACATTATTTTTATGTTTCATCGATTCAGTTTCATCCACGCTACGATAAAATAATCTAATAATTGAAACAAATTTTAACTCAATCAAATTGTTAGTAAATAATTGTTAATAAACTCTATAAGGTTGATAATGTTTACGTAGGCCTACAACAGAAGCATCAGCAGCAGCAGCCGCAGCAGCAGCAGCAGCAGCAGTAGTAGTACTGTAGTAGTAGTAGTAGTAGTAGTAGTAGTAGTAGTAGTAGTAGTAGCAGCAGCAGTAGCAGCAGTGGTAGTAGTAGTAGTAGTAGTAGTAGTAGTAGTAGTAGTAGTAGTAGTAGTAGTAGTAGTAGTAGTAGTAGTAGTAGTGGTAGTAGTAGTAGTAGTAGTAGTAGTAGTAGTAGTAGTAGTACCAGCAGAGCAGTAGAAGAACTTGAAACAACTTGCATATTTCATATATCATATTGCGGCAATGATTGGGACCTTTTGTATTTTATTCACATACAATTCAAATGAAACTATTCTAGACAAAGATCTGTCCAGTCAGTTTCAAAACGTAGGGTTAATAACATTTTCAAAGACACGATCCTTTGTCAATTTTTTGTTCACGAAAAAGTCCTAAAACCTGAACATAGACTTGACCCCGTAAGGTTGCAGTAGAAGAACTTGAAAAAACTCGCATATTTCATATATCATATTGCGGCAATGATTGGGACCTTTTGTATTTTATTCACATGCAATTCAAATGAAACTATTCTAGACAAAGATCTGTCCGGTCAGTTTCAAAACGTAGGGTTAATAACATTTTCAAAGACACGATCTTTTGTCAATTTTTCGTTCACGAAAAAGTCCTAAAACCTGAACATAGACTTTAGCCCGTAAGGTTATTCACGATCTTCCACTTGGTTTTGTAAATTTACAATTCAAACTGGCTCTTATTGAACCCTGTTGTTAACAATGAACATTTGGGTTTGAGCAAATTGACTTTTGTGAGATAGTTAGGTTGCGGTTGATGAGAAAAATATTGACTCTCAATGACTCCATGTATTGGGAAGTCACTTAGCCCTATACTGTATTGGATAAGTTTCTGGAGAAAATTAAGAGTAGACTTTTGCCTTTCTTAAAAATGTGACATGGTATTATTCTGTGCCCCCATTTTTAAAAACAAGGTCTTGGGTTTAATTGCAAAATGTCGGCTAGTCCTTTGTTTTTCCAATACTCGATTGCTGGCCCTCTCTCTCTTCTATTTTGTTTACTTTCTATATTTGTAATTATCAGTAATACATCGCTTTATTTGACTGTTCCAGCATGGCGATTACCATTGCAAGCGAAAATGAATGTGAAAATATCTAGGCCTAAGTTTATGATGATTTAATGACTGATCAATGAACTCTTCGTGTGAAACTTTGTGATATGTTCCACAACTGTAATCTGCCCCATGCGTGTACTTTAATGTTTACCATGACGTTGAGCTAATTGTTTCACTGCCTTTATGGTCTGATCTTTGCGACACTCCTAGGTGTCTATATTCTCGGAAGCCTAAAGCAGACTGCATACGTGCCAATATTGAGCAGAGTCGTTGAAGTGTTAGTCATGAGTCCAAATAATAACCCGATGTTAGTAGTTATTGGTAATTGGAATAGTATTGAAACACGGTGCTATTTTCTTGTAAGATAAGCTGTTTCCATTCGGTATCGATCGAATAAACCAGTAGGTAACTATATAATTTCAAACTCTGTAACAATCTAAATACTGCACTGTAGATGATGAACAAAAAAAATAGGCCTAACAAGGTCACAGAAACCCGGTAACACATAGGCCTAGACATACTTATAAGCTGTGCATTTTCATTTGCATTCTTAAAAACACAATTTTCTCCAGATTCACTTAACACACCATCATGAATTATTTTCTTGAACCTACTACGAAATACAATATATGTGTCACGTGAAAAGAAGCTTTAAAGAAGACTATAAAGAATTCTGTCACGTCTACATCAAAATGTTTCGAAGAGGAACGTAAAATCTACGGTACGACACTCTATATGAGCAGATTGTTCAATAGTGTTAATGCTGTTGATGCGAGAGGTCTGTTAAATAAAAACTATTGAAGTGATCGACTGGCCGCTGAAGAATGAGTGTATATCGATCCATTTCGCGCGAACTGCCAATAAAACATGTCCAATTAAAAGTATTTTACTACTTAAATGCAAACGACTAATCAATCAGGAGCAATGTAACACCTGGAGAAAGGTATTGAACAGGAAGTATGGAGTGATGTGTTATTCATGTACTACATTCAATCCTATATTAAATATATAACCTATATACAAACTTATAATTATATAAATATATAGGCCCTATAATATAAAAATACAATATAATGAATTATACACATTAACTTTAATGTATTAAATATCAAATAAGAATGGCTTCCTATTAGTTATAACACTGAGTGCTTAATATAGACGTAAAGATAAACTTGACTTATATTACAAGTAATCAATCAAAAATCAGTAATTTCTTTATTGTAAGTTGATTTTCTCTGGAAGGAAGATAAAGTGAATTGTGCTTTTTCGCTACCTATCTTCAGGGACGTATCCAGGGGGGGGGGAGCCGTGGGAGCCGAGGCTCCCCCTCCCCCTTTTGTACACAGTGTTAA